CGCAGAGCCACCCGCCAAGACTCCATACTGAATGGCCCCACCGGAGTTAAAGGAGCTTCGCAGACAGTTGAAAGAGCTCCTAGATGCGGGATACATCCGGCCATCAAAGGCACCATTTGGTGCACCGATGCTATTTCAAAAGAAGCATGATGGTTCCCTCAGAATGTGCATCGACTATCGAGCTTTGAACAATCTCACAGTGAAGAACAAGTACCCAATTCCATTGATTGTCGACTTGTTCGATCAACTTGGTGGTGCAAGGTGGTTCACCAAGTCTTCTCCCTGGCTTGGCAGCTTTAACACTTGCGCTTGTGCCAATTTCTGCTACTTCTCCTTCTCTCATCCTCTTCATGATGGTTGTAAGGCAACGTTTCTTGGGACATCCTCTAATCAAATGAGGACCATCACAGAAGTAGCACTTCAATTTTTCCTTTCTCACCTTCTTCTTCGCCCCGGACTTAGCCTTGTCATTCTTTCCCGATGGCTTTCCTTGGCTACGAACAGTCGATGGCTCACATTGGCCAATCGAAAAGCTTTCTCTACCATCTCCCCGCTGCACATTTTCCCAGTCTTCCCCACTATTGCCACTATCCCTAAGCATGAGCCTAGATGACACATTGCTACTTGGCTTGACATCTGCAAGCTCAGTCAGCTTTTCGGCTACAGTTATGGCCTCCGAAAGTCTCTGGGCATCACCTTGCTCTCCCCCGAGCATCTCCCCTGGTCTAAGTTCTCCCAAAAAGGTCTTGAGGGCACCACATTCACTCATTGCTCCCTTGCAAATGAGTAGCTCCCTCTTGAGATCATAAACCTCGCTTCTCAAAGCCACCACCTCGGCTTCATGTGAATCACTCCCTCGAACCGTCTCGAACTCGTTGAGAACTCGTTGTGTCTTGTCCTTGAATCTGTCCTCCATGGACTCCAATCTATCAAGGTAAGACTCCACAACACCCTGGGTCTCCTTGCCTCATCTTCGGCTTTTTCAAGTCTCCTGACCCTCTCTTCCCACGAAGTTGAGTTTTGTTCCATCTTGAAGAACCTCCTTGCCATGTTACCATTCCGTTAGATTTTAATGACATACGACTTAAACGATACCACTTAAATAGTTTAGTAATCATATTATAGGTCACCAAATCTCATAGTTGGATGGTCATTCAAGTAGTTCACACTATATTATAAGCGTTGATTAACTAGTCTAATGATATGATGGTGAATCCAGGAGATTGTTAAGTATTAGAGTTAGGACCAAATCACGTGGAGGGCCCCCGCAGGGACGGTGCATGGTGGGGAAATGTCGGCTGGTGGTGGAATCCACGATGGCCAGGAAACACACGTGGAACAGCTAGCTTGCACCGACAATCTCCCTCATTCTCGAATCGTTGTGGTAAGCTCCCAACCCCCACCACTTGAGCTCATCTCATCATCGATAATCTTATATTATATCCCATAATCATGTAATAAAGATTTCATTATTTAACGGTTAAGTTAATACAATACTATCTACGATCTTTAAAGTTTTAGAATAACTTAGGGCGATTATAAAATATTAATTATATAAAATTATTTTAAATATTTAATAACATATATATATTTTTTATAAATATATTATTCAAATTTTAAATCTTTAAAGATTATACATTTAATATAATATAATGCAGTGACAACAAGTTTAGAGAATTAGATATAAAAACGTCTAACAAAAAGAGACTAAATATATTTTAATTGATCATTGAAAATTGTAAAAAGACGTATTATAATTATCCTTAAATTGTTAAAACCAACCACTTAATATATCTAAAATTGTAAGAGGTAGATAGAATTTTACGAGTGTTATTTTTATTAGAGATTCTAAATTCAAATTGTTACGTATGTGAGTGTATATTATTGATATATTGAAAAATATTTAAACATATACTACTTTATAATCAGAGATAAATCGAAGGGGACGAATAAGCTAGTTGTCTCCTAAAAATTTTAAATTATTATATATTTTAGATTTTTAATATAGTTTCTATTAAAAATTGATTTTTTGGTCTATTAAAATTTTATAATTTGATAATTTCTTAAGATTTTAGAAGTATAAAATCTCGTAATTACCCCATATTACTAAAAAAAATCTTATATAAATCCTTCCACATAACTGTTATTACTATGTGGGATTTTATATTTTTATACACCAATAGAATAAAAAATTAGAGAAATTATTTCATGGTTTTTCGTTCACTATATCATTTATGGTCCTAATGAATCACATCTATTAATTTTAAAATAATTTTCAAATAATTGCACACTCTTTATATACATGTAAGAAATAGGTGAAGATTCAACTTAAAAAATGAGATGAAAAAATGTTTTGATAACGTGTTGGGTCGGATCCATCTAATAAATTTTTCAAAATTTGATATCAATTACATTTTCATTTTAGTAAAAGTTATCTCGACATTTTTTGGTTGTATATTGACATTAACTTATTTTAAGAATATAAATTTACACCTATTCTTTTATATATCACGAAAAACTCTTGTATATACTTTTTATTAATCTGAGATAAATATAAAATAATATTTATTTAAAGATAATTTTAAATTATTTAATATTAAACGCTCGTACTTTTAATAATTTTAATATTCAAACCCAAGATATCAAAACATAACATCAACTTCTTTATCACTAAAGTGGCTCAATTCTTGAGCATTTTTCTTCTTCTAAATATCACCCTCAGACCCATCAATTACTTGTCAGATACCCTATCTTATAATATTACTGATCTAGCACCTTTTCTGACAAAGCGCTGATCACTATCCGTGCCTTTGCGGGGTTCTGTTCGAGTTGGCGCCTTCGCTAAATCTCTGACATATACGGAAGGAGAGGATCATGAAGCGCACATTCCATGGGAAATGTTGACATGTCACCACATGAGAAGACGCGTTTCAAGGGGCATACCTTTCAATGTCCACATCATCCCTAAAATAATTTTAAAAAATATGCTTTAAAAAAATTTAAAAAAAAACTATAGGGACTAACATCATAATTTAATACATATTAATTACATGAGTTGAATATCTTAATAGGGTTAGCTTATATAGGCATATTGGACTGTTTAATTTATATTTCTTGACAATGTGAGATAAAAGTTAAAAGGTATATTCCTTACATTTTTTTATATTTATATTTAATGAATTTACTTATACATTATTGTTAAATTATATTAGGTTAATATTTATTATTAAGGTTCATATTAATTAAGATTAAATTTTTTATATGTTAATATATTTAAATAATTACATTAGGTTAATATTTATTATTAGGGTGTATACTAAATTTAATTTTGAAGCTGATATATATAAAAGGGGAAACGATATACTCATGTAAGATCGAATATAAGATTAATTATATTCGGGCGGCTCAAACGCCTTAAAATATTATATGTTCTTTTATTTTAAATCTAGATTATGAGATAATGGGTAATTTTCATGTAATTTATTTAATTATATGTTTTTTGCTATAATAATTTGAGTTGGAATAAGTTACAAGATGTTATTCCTTCTGAAATTAGCGAGCTTAAGAGTTTAACACATCCGTAAGAAGTACATGGAAATATTTTTTTCACGTTATGATAATCAAGATTGTTGCTTTCTACTAACCAAAAAATTGATTAGGCATATGAGCTTCAACAATTTTAAAGGGAAGATCCCGCGAAGAAGTTAACAATAGTGTATAAGTAGGTTCATTAGATATAGAGATAAAAAAGTTAAGGAATACACCTTTTAGTTTTTATCATACATTGTCAAGAAATATAAACCAAACATTCTAATATGCATATATAAACTAACCTCATTAAGCTCTTCAACTCATGAAACTAATATGTATTAAATTATGATGTTAGTCCCTATAGTTTTATTTTTTAATTTTTTTAAAATGCTTTGAGAAATAATGTGAACTTTAGAAAGCGTGTCCCTTAAAATGCACATTCTCATGTAGTGCTATGTCAACATTTCCCATGGAAGGCGCGTTTAATGATCATCGCCTTCCGTATATGTTAGAGCTTCAGCGAAGGTGCGGATGACGATATGCACCTTCCCTTATGTGATGTCAATTGAACAGAACCTCACGAAAGCGTTGATGGTGATCCGCACTTTGTTAGAAAGGATGTTAGATTGATAATATTAGGAGAGAGGATGTCTGACAGGTAATTAATGAGTCTAAGGGTGTGTTTGGTTGGGTGAATGTGAGATTCCCATGGGAATGGAATCCACATTCTCCCGTTTGGTTGGCCGGAAATGTCATTACCCGTAATCTTACATTACCAATAGTAGATTTCTTGGGGTATATTACCGGGAATGTCATTACCTCCCTTTCCTTAGGTATTGTTGGATTACCGACGTTTTGGACTAAAATGCCCTTAACTTTTTCTTTCTTTCAAAAATATCCTTATTCTATCATTGAATAATAAAAATTATGCGAATGTTAAATTACAAATTTATCCTTAAACTATTTTAGATTTAAAAAAGAAATTATAATTAAAATTTTATGTAAAGTTCAGAGGTTAAAATAAAATTTTACCATTTCATTAAACCTTTTTATATTTTTAATTTTATAAAAAAAATTATATAAATTTTATAAATTTAAATTTTTAAAGAAAATATATAAATATTTTTCAACTTGTTAAAAAATATATATATAATAATAATAATTTGGTCAAATATATATTCTAATAATCTTTTATTTCTTTAACCAAACATGGTAATCTTACATTCATGTTAAACTAGCCAAACACAAAATATAACATTCCCAGTAATTCTATTCTCTGATAATCTTTTATTCATACTAATAATCTTACATTCTGTTAACCAAACGCACCCAATGTGATATTTCGGTAAAAACTACCAATTCGTGCTTGTATCTAAATCTTTGATTTGCTTAACTTGGAAAAGCTGGAAATGAGAATGGCGCGTGAAGTATCGAATGCTGTGTTGGAGAAACATAAAATCCCGGAAAGACAGAGGTATCCAATGATTGTAGTGGGTCCGGTCTTGTAGAGGCAAAAGGGACATGCACGAACGCCATCTTGGGACCATGTATCGACACGTGGCTAAATACCCACATGGCTATTCACTTTAACTCATGTATCCCTCCCACGTGACTCAAACCCCCATCTTATCCGCTTCTTATCCCTCTTTTCAATTCGTTTAGCATTCTCTAACCCGAAACTCACTATAGCTTACCCTTTGCTAAAAATTTTAAACAAAGTTTTCATACTATAAAATAGTACGCTTTCATGGTAAAAAGCCAACCTTTTTTTATTAAGTTATTTAGTTGTTCATAATGTTTTTTGATTATTGACAAATATAATTGTTTTAATTTAAAATTTCTAAAAAAAAACGCTATTTTTCTATCATTAAAATCATTCAACAAGTTGAAAGCTTTACCATCCGAAAAATGAATGATTAGTCGAAGTTTGAGGGATCCTATTGTCGATGAGAATCAAGGCTTGCATGGGATTCAAAAAGAAGCCAACCCTGCATGTGATGGCATATATTTCTCAGATTTTTACAAGATTCGGTAGGTCCTCCAACATTACATTGCACATAAGATGCTTTCCAAATACTTTTCTACTATTAGACACTGAAAATCAATCTTCAACTTGATTTTTTTTAATAAACACTGGTATATTATCTATTGATTGTAAATTTGGATTGAATACTGTAGAGGTAAGAACAATCCTCTCAATCTAGTTTATTTCATTCGCAATAGTTAAAATTTAAACACCTAACGTTATTGAAGAGATTCAATATCTCATCCCACTAGATTATCTTATTGTTTATATTTTTAACCTGATAATACTACGTTTAAAAACATTTCTGCATTTTTAATAGTACTTCTCATAGTTTTGGCTTTTTTGGGGTGATATAATCAATGGTAACAGTTCATACAAAACTCAAGAAATTAGCCCTAAAGGGGTACTTGATTGCATTCAAAGGTTGAGGAGATGGCTTCCCAAATGATTACCTTAATGATCTGGTTATTTATTTATTTAACGCGCGTGGCTCCAGCGTGTGGGGGTCTGTAGCAGCTTCACCTGTCCCAATAGTCAACGGTCAACGAACGAAAAAGCCGCTTTTAAAGAGACGTCTTAATAGTAATAATAACATTGGAGGAAAAATAGAAAAACCCTCAGGACAAAAAACTTAACCGCAGTTAAAAGGGCTCAACATTAATAAAAATATCTCAGTTACAGCTTACAGGTACTTTTTTTTTCCGTTTCTAAAGCCGGGGTTAAATCTGAACCATGGTAACCCAAGGTTGAGTTAAGTCAATAGGGTCACTGACACAAGTCATGATTGAATCTATACCCATCTGTCTCTTTCTCTGGCTCTGTTATATCTCTATATAAAGTCCCATCCTTACACTGTTCTGCTGCACCAAAACCAAAAGGCTGTTGTTAAAGACCACCTCTGGCTGCTAAAGCTCAAGTCATTTTCTACCCTTCTTTCCTTACGTTTTGCGTTTTCTCAGAATCCAAACACACAAGGCAGGGAAAAGGGGGGGGGGGGGTTTGAGGCCAGAAAGGAGGAGGCTAAAAAGCTGAGAACTTTGGTAGGTTTTACTCAGGAAAGTTGAGCTTTTATTTTTACTTTTTGGTTGGTTTTGAAAGAAGAAGAGATATGGGTGATAAAGATGACGGTTTGGGGTTGAGCTTGAGCTTGGGATGTGCTCAAAATCAGCCTTCTTTGAAGTTAAATCTCATGCCTCTAGCTTCACCACGCATGCAAAATATTCAGGCCAGGAACACTTGGAACGAGCTGTTTCCGTCTTATGGTATTTTCTTGTCCCTTTACACCTTCGTGTTTGTAAAACGGTCGACTTTGAAGGAAACACTACTTGAAACAGTTTGCTTGTGTTTATGACATCTTTTATGACCAAACTGTTTACGTTTTCCCCAGTTTTTAATAAACATTAAATCAGAAATTTCGCGTACAGATCTCGTGTTTACCATATCTTCCCATCTTTACGTTGCACGTACTTTGTGTATTCACAAATAATCTTTAAACTTCAATACTGGACAGCGTTTTGAGGTTGATGAAATGAATATTATAATGACTCATGAAAATGCATGCAGATCGTCACTTGGATACGAGGTCATCCTTTCGAGGAATAGATGTGAATCGGGCTCTCACAACTGTCGATTACGAGGAGGAAGGCGTGGTATCGTCGCCGAACAGCACCATTTCTAGCATAAGTGTAAAGAGGAACGAGAGAGATAACGTGGGTGATGAAACCGAGGCCGAGAGACCTTGCTCTCAGGCTAGCGACGATGAAAATGGTGCCACCGGTGATGCTTCCAGAAAGAAACTCAGGCTTTCCAAGGAACAGTCCTTGTTGCTCGAAGAGACCTTCAAGGAACATAGCACCCTTAATCCGGTCAGTGGCTTTTCTGCAATATAATTTCATTTTAGGGTTTTCCGTACTTTGGTCTTGAAGGGAAAAATGTTGATTTGTAGAAACAAAAGTTGGCACTGGCAGAAGAATTGAATCTGAGGCCTAGGCAAGTGGAGGTCTGGTTCCAGAACAGAAGGGCCAGGTGAGTTGTCAAGGGTATTTTGGTTATATTGTTAAAGTGCAGTTAACCATTTTTGAAGCCTTGAAAGACCCCTATTAATGTCTTTGATTAGGAGAGGGTGTCCTTTTCGGCTCAAAAAAATCTTTTAGGATTCTGCTGTTGCTTTAAGTATCACATGTTTAACTCATCTCTTAGATTTAATGGCTAAGTGATTAATGAGCATCTTAATGCTATCTACAAAAGTAAATCTTTAGATTCAGTAGGTTCTGAGGTTGGGGTTTGGTCATTAAATGTAAATAACAGATAGGACTGCAATTCTAGAGAACTGGTTTAAGCAAAGAAAATGGCAAAAATAGAGCTAGGGGACCCCATGAAACAAAATCTGGAGTATAATCTCTCAAATGCATGGAATTCAATTGGTGCAGGACAAAGTTGAAGCAGACGGAAGTTGACTGTGACTATCTCAAGAGATGTTGCGAGAATCTGACCGAGGACAACCGGAGATTGCAGAAGGAAGTGCATGATCTTAGAGCATTAAAATTATCCCCGCAGCTCTACATGCACATGAACCCACCCACTACCCTCACTATGTGCCCGTCTTGCGAGCGCGTGGCAGTTTCTTCTTCGTCATCGATGCCATCCTCTGCGGTACCGGTCTCCTCCACCCCAGCCCCCACTTCAGCAGTTCCGAACCAACAACAGCTGATGCCTGTTAGTCCTTGGGCAGCAATGCAGATTAGGGTACCCTTTAATCCTGCCTCTGCATCTAGATCATAATCACATATGTAATCAATTGAGATGGGTACTGACTAGGGTACTGCTTTTATTAAAGCCTTGTCTCTTTTTGGTCTATAAAAAGGGGATGCAAAGGGTGGAATAGTGATAGATGCTTATGTTTATCAGTAAGCAGGGGAAGAAGATAAGTTGGAAAGAAGAATCTGACTCCCTTTCGGTTAATATTATTGTGATGTGTTTTTTTTTGGAAGGCAAAGGTGAGAAGCAGAAATGGAAGGATGGTGTTAACATCAATAGATTCATGAAGGAATAATAAAGATATGGAAAGGTAAGACTTTGTTTTAACCCTTTTATGAAACTTATTGGTAAGCTTTTTCCATGTGAATTGTTGTCCAATGAAACATTGGTCAGATTCCCATTTCCAGCTGTTTTCTATGGTTCTGTCACGACTCTTTTTGGCAACAAAAAAGACTGCAAGGTTTTGGGTTTCGTTAGACCTCAAAGCACTCAAATCAAATCCAACCAGTTTCCAAAATGATATTTTAATCGTCATATAATGCATTCAACAGTTTTCTGGGAAAATGATACTGTCAGCATCAATCATCATTGAACTTAAAATGGAAATCAAATGATAGTATTTGCCACTACATCAGTACTGTGTAGCACCACCATTTGATTTGGGTACCATTTCATACAAAGTTTTGACAATCGAAAGAGAGAATTTAAGAGAACCCTGTAAACGAAATGATTTGCACAACCGGAAATTATAATCTCAGAGGTACTCCTCTAAGCCTCAAAATTGAACACTTTGGACTTTTCTTTGAGATGTTACCCTGAAATGGTAAGATCCCATTTGAGCCCAAAAGAATAAACAGAACAACAACATATTGACAGCACAAGTTTCCAATAGGCATAAACACAGCAACACGAGGATTCGAAGTTCCTCGGGAAGCTTATGGTGAAAACGACTTGAAATGCATTCAATCCTCTAACAACTACATTAGGATCCATGTCCTCTAACAGCTATTGTCATTATCAGGTCTACAATAACAATTACCTTATGGTCAGCTAAAGAAGATATTTATAGAAAAAAAAGTGTATTAAGTACACTTATTTTATCTTGAATTCAGTAAAAAAAAACAATGCAATTGAAGTAAAAAGTTTCCTAAAAAGATAATTAACCACTCTATTTTCTCCACTGGCTTAGGCATCTAAACTTAAGTCTCCCGTTCAATTCTCGAAACTCCTGTTTTTCTTACGAGTTCGTTACAATCAATGAGAAACAAAATCTATATACTTGAAGGGAAAAACAGTAAACAGAGAAGAAAACAGCTGATTCACAGGTAATATGATTCGATAATCAAGCATCTCCTACTACCTCAGTATTATTAATTTATTATAAATTATAGTCTCTCCCTCTAATCATTCTTCAGTTTGATCAGGCTTTAAAACTCAAGTGATAATTGCAGGCATGGAAAAAAATTTGTGTTTCTCATGCATGTGCAGTAACGAGGAGAAAATGCCAAGGGAAGAAGGTCAATTAGAGTCAAACTGTATTCACAGTGTCTGCAAGGGAACGAAGTATGCATCCAAAACCAGCTTTTGCTGTCAGCTTCCAATGAATCTTAAGGCATCGATCACAGGTTGCGGGACCTCCGGTTGACAATCCTCTATATATGTACCTTGAAAAACATAAGGATCATCGTCCTTATCGATTCGCGATATCGAATATGCAAACTAAAGAGAATGTGCCTGTAAGGAAAGCAATTATTTTGCATCATCCTCTATAAACTAGGATGACAGCAGAATCCAATGGAGTATTACTTCAACATATAAAAGTGAAATGCAAAAGAGACTCACTTCATAAGAATATCATAGTACTTGGGATCTAAAGAAAGGAGCCTTCCTTCAACATCTTTTACAGTCATTAATGCTTTATGCACAACTGTCCAATTCGCAAACTGCAAATGCAAAAATCCAAAAACCAAAAGTTTAACTCTTTCTATAATTAAATAAAAGAAATTGAGAACAAAAATATTGTTTTTGTTTTTGGTACCAAACCTTGCAGCGCTCGTCTTGGGGAGGAGAGTCCTCGAGTGCAGTTTGAAGAGCTTCAACGAGTATAAACCTGAGATAGGATCAAATCAATCCTATACAATTAGGGTTATTTTAAATCATTTTCCAAATCTTAAATGGGACATTTGATTTCCGATTAGAATTTCTTACTGCTTAATTAAGTTCTCGATCCTCCCAGATTTATTCTGAATTTTCGTTAGTACATCCTCTGCGCTTCCAGGCTCCACAGGTTTCTCTGCTTCAGCCATAATCGTTAATTCACTTACTCCTTTGATCCATAAATCTCACCAAACAAACAAAATTTTCCGGGAAAATCGTTTTCCATCTACACGGCGGCGTTTAAGGTCTTTTTTGACCCAGAAAGCAACGGTTTTGAGAATATAAATCTTCCTATCGTTAATTCAAATAATATGATCACTTGATTTGATTTTTTGATTTATTATATTTTAAAGTATAATTTCTATTTTAATTTTTTTAATTTTAATTGTATAAAAAAATAAAAGATAATAATAATAAATCAAAAAATCAAATTAAGTGATCATATTATTTTATAATTCGTAATTATACTTTAAATATAGTAATTTTTATTTACGTTAATTTTCTTTTATTTAATGTTGCATATAATATTTTGTATGAAATCTTTTAAAATTTTGATTGTATACGGATTTAAAAATTATTAATAAAAATAAAAATAAATAAAATATAAAATATTACATTTTGTAATTTATATGTCTACACAAGATAAAATAAAATATTTTTTTATTACTACAATAAAAAAGAGTAACAATGCATGAGGCTGCATTTGGCTTGACCGGAACGATAGAATTTTTAACAATCCTTTGGAAGAATATGACTGATGACACCATTATTGAGCGAAACATGAGGCTGCATTTTCTGTGTAACGAATCTCGACGTGCAGCAAAGTAGGCTCGGAATCTACCTTCAGCAAACGTTGGCCGAGAGGAGGGGTAGTATGCGGTGGCAACGACCGGATAATGGTTGGGTTAAACTTCACTCGGATGACAATCGCGATCTAAACAATGTGAGGGAGTCATTCGCGATAGTGCTGGATGTTAGCTAACTGATTTTTTTTAGTTTATGGGTATTTGTACGGTTATAGAAACTAAGTTATGAGGTGTCTTCATCGGCCTTTAGTGCGCTTGAGAGAGGGGCTTCCGTCCCGTTGTGGTTGAGTTTGATTGTTTGGATGCGGTGAGGCTCCTTCAATCCAATGGTGCCAGTCGTGACTCAATTTCTATCATTGCTCGTATTACCGATCTTGTTTAACGGGATTGGTGTATTCGTTTCAACATGTCTCTCGTCGGAATAATAGGGTAATGGACGGTTTAACCAAATTGGCTAGTTTGGGGGACTTTGAGATCCATCATTTGGATCACCCTTCGGTGGAAGTGAGCGCCTTAGTACAGTATGATGAGTTATGTTCGTCGAGTTGACTGAATTTTTTTCTTTGGTCTAATTTGGGAATTGTTGATATGTTGTTTTGTTTTTAGTATCACGTCGTGTACTCTTTTCCTCCATTAGGGTAGAGCGATTTTTAAAGAGACATCATATTTTCAATGTATGATATTCTCTTAATAGCACACATTTTATATAAAAAAAAGTAAAAATACAAAATTTAATAGTACACATTGTATGAAGAGGGTTTTTTTTTTCTTTCGTTTTTTAGTTGGTGATGAAAATCTTTGTTTAAACTATGTTTAAATTTGAATTTTATTTTAAGATAAAAATAAATTTGAATATAAATACAAACAATCAATAAAATTAAATTTGTAAATTTTGTTCAACTCTTATAAATAAAATTAATCAAATGAGTTTAAAAAAATCAATATTATTTAAACTAATTTAAATTTTAGAAATAAAGTTTGATTAAGATCAAATCTAGTTTTGAGTCTAAAATTTTAGGAAGACTTAAATTCAAATTTAAACTTGATTGATTGATTTAGTTATTATTATTATTGTCTTTTATTTTTTATACAATAAAATATTAAAATATAAAATTATATTTTTTAATAGAAATTATATTTTAATATAAACAAAATAAGGAAAAACCTAAAAGTCATTAATACATACTAAAACAAAGTTTTAACATAATTTAGAAAAGAAGATAGGTGTCAAAAAATTAGATAAGGAGGCAGGGACAGGGGTAGAAGATTTCCATTCATGCTCGTGATCAAAATTCGATTCAATTAGAAAAATTAATTTTTTATTCGATTCGACTCGAATTAACTTCGACCTACAATTTAGAAACTCGGCTGGACTCAAAAAAATTTAAGTTCAAATCAAATTGTAAAATATAACTCAATTAATTCAATTTTTTTAGTAATTAGTAAATTGATTTTCAAGTTTGAATATTTCAATTTTGCATGATATATATATAATCATTTAAATTAGAATCAAATAATATTATAATATTATAAATATTTATAATTAAATTTAAAAAAAAAAACTTGAAAAATTAACTCGATTCGAAAAAAATTTCAAATCAACCCTAAATTATAAAATAAGACTCATTAATATTGTTTTTCTTTCTTCAATCAATCAATATTGTTTTTTCTTTTCATTTTTTTAATCATTCAATTTCCCCCATTTTTGTAACCTCAAAATCGGAAACGAAACCCTAACGAAGACAAAGAAAGCACAAGTAAAGAAGGTGAGGAACAATTGTACTTCATCAATGGCAGATTCGTATCCTCGCTTTACAACTAGATCCTCCACAAAAATGGCTAACAGCAGCATGTGCAGGAACAATTACAGCAATAACTACCTACGTTTTGCTGGTAAGCTGTTGTTTTTCGCTTTCTTTCTCATTGCAATCCCATCGTTCCCTTCCCAAGCCCCAGATTTCGTGAACCAAACAATATTCAACAAGTTTTGGGAGCTTCTTCACCTTATGTTCATCGGCATTGCTGTTTCTTATGGTCTGTTTTGTCGTAGAAGTGTTGATGATGGTAATCTTGATGATACCCAGTCGGATGTTTCTGGGATGTTCCATGCTTCATCTATTTTTGAAGATGGTTTTAGTAATTCGATGCGCTATAGTGGACAGGGTAATGCAGGGAGTTTTAATGTTAAAAACGGTGGCTTTGAAAACCCTTACGAGGAAAATGTTGTTCAAGCTTGGAGTTCCAAGTATTTTCAAGGGGAACCCACGGTTGTTTTGGCTCAACCAAATTGTGGTCTTGAAAAGTATGGTGAGTCAAGTTCTTTTGTAGATTATAAACCTTTGGGGTTGCCTGTTCGGAGTTTAAGATCCAGGATTGCAAGGCGGGCTGTTCCTGAATTTGGGAATGGATCAAACGAACCTTCTGATTCACATATGAAGGATTCGTCACAAGGTTCTAATGAGAGTAGAGATAGGGGATTTGGTGGTTTTGCTTCTGGAAATTTGGAGGGGAAGTTAAATGAGAGTGATGTTTTACATTTCCCGATTACTCGGCCTTCGAGATCTGGAAGGAGGGACGAGAGAGTTCATAGTAATGTCACATATCAGGGATCCGATTATGGCTCGAGTGAATCTTCGGGTTCTCAAATGAATGATTCTTCGGATAGTTCTAATAAGAGTAGAGGTAACGGATTTTGTGATTTGGGTTCTGAAAATTTGGAGATATCTAATGAGATTGATGTTTTAGGTTCCCCAAATTCTCAGCGTTTGAGATCTGGAAGAACGAGAACGAGAGTGAGAGTTCATAGTAATGGATCAAGTAAATCTTCAGGTTCACAAATGAAGGATTCGTCGGATAGTTCTAATAAGAGTTTTGGTAATTTGGGTTCGGGAAATTTGGAGAAGTTTAATGAGAGTGATGTTTTAGGTTCCTCAATCCCTCAGCGCTCGAGATCTGGAAGAAGGAAAGAGAGAGTTCATCGTAATGTCACGAATGAAGGATTTGACAATGGATCAGGTGAATCTTCTGCTTCTAATAAGAGTAGAGGTGAGGCATTTGGTGATTTAGGTTTTGAAAATTTGGCGAAATTCGATGAGAGTGATGTTTTAGCTTCCCCGATTCCTCCTTGTTCGAGATCAGGAAGAATGAGAGAGGGATTTCATAGTAATGTCACCTATAAAGGATATGGCAATGGATCAAGTGAATCGTTTGGTTCAAAAATGAAGGATTGGCCGGATAGTTCTAATAAGAGTATAGGTAGAGGATTTGGTGATTTCGGTTCTGAAAATTCGGAGGGGGAGTCTAATAAGAGTGATATATTAGGCTCCCCGATTCCTTGGCGCTCGAGATCTGGAAGAAAGAGAGAGAGAGTTCATTGTAATGTCACTCGCCCATCTCATTTCAGGCCTCTCTCAGTTGATGAAACACAATTTGAATCACAGTCTCTACGATCAACGATTTCTTTCTCTTCCCAAGTTAGTTCACAGTCGCAGTCACCAAGTGGCCTGTCTCCCTCACATTCCAGTTCTTCAGAATCACCAAAGTCCAAAATGAGTGAATCGGTGAAGGAAAGGAGTCCCTGTCAGTCTCTTCCGCCTACTTCACCATCGGTACTGAAACCAATGAGTAGTAAACCTTCAGTGGATGCATCATATTCCCGGCAGTATGGTGATGGCTCGATGTTGGGGACCCCTGCAAGAAAATGCTTCAAGGATGAATTGAAGGAATTATGTGACAGCAAAAAGGAAGAGTCATTTGGTAGTAGCGAGCAGATTTCGGGTTCCTTCAACTTTGATGCAAAGCCTGCAGCTCCCTCTAAAGCATCCTCGAGAGGAAAGTCAGTTCGGACCTTTAGGACTTCCAGAGCTAGTGTCAATGCCACCAGTGCAAAGGATGTCGGGGAGAGGCAAGAAGATTATACAAAGGGAAAATCGAGAATGGGATACGATGAAATCGAAGAGGCTTACACGGTTGAAAGTGAACCAAAAATTGAAGGCCATAATAATTTCTCCATTGGTTTAAACAGGAAGAACCTTCGAGGTGAATCTCATATGCTTAAGCTTACATCCACTGAAAACCAGAAAAAAGAAATACAACATCGTCCAGAGAATCCCGCTGCAGAGCCAGGAGAAGACTCAGAGAGAGAGAATGATGATTTTCACGAAAACTCGGATGAAGAAACCATGTCTGGGACTTTCAGCATAGCAGGATCAGAGGTCGATAGGAAGGCTGGTGAGTTCATAGCCAAGTTCAGAGAGCAGATTAGGCTTCAGAGAGCAACATCAGTGGATACACCAAGAGGGCCCAACATCACTGGTAATTATTTCAGGTGAAAGTAGCTATAAATTTCTGACAAAAGGGTAATCACTACACTCAAATTGAGGATTCTTTATTTTCTTATCTACTTGAATCAAGTTTCTGCAGAACCTTGTTCAATGGTTATAGAACATGCTTTGGACAGTTCATTTAAAAGCTGGATAATTCAATAACTTTTACTTAATCAGCCTTTTGAATTTCCATTGATTTGATGGATTGGTGAGAGGCAGATATATAGCCCTAAACATGTATAGATCAACATGCTTTGGGTTGGAAAGTTAACATTCCAGTACTTGCTTGGAATTGGAAGTCATGGATGTGTATTACTTTGGATGAACAGTTTTGCATTTGAAAAAATAGTCATTTATTGTCAGCCTAACCAGGCAAAGTAGTCCTTTATTGTCAAGATGTTATTTGAAAAAAAGTTTGCTTTGCAATGATCAACAAATTAATCCCAAACCATTACGAAAACGACACCTTGTGGAGAGCCTGTCTAGTTGATAAGAAATTAAGATGAACTGCGGATTAAGACCATATAAATGCACATTCTCTATTTATTAGTCTGCAAAGAAGCCAACAATGTCTAATATAATTCTCTATCTATTACCACAAATAGATTTATATGCAGACACTGACATAAAAGAGAGAGAAACTATACGCCCTACCAAGGATCCCAGGCGCGTAATGTCTATCGTCTTCAGGTGCCATATGATAAATAATTGTGTCATCTGAACTTGGATTTGCATGATGCTGTCCGTAAAATGCATAAATAGCAACAGATATTAATCTGAGGATGACGAATCTAATCCATGCTTGATAGTGCAACTGTGCCAAGAAAAAAAAGATAAAAGCTAATTAACACTGGCCAACTTTGATCCATAAATTCTTCCAATTTCAACTCCTTTATCGATTAGTTACACGAATTCAATGCACTAATTCCAAAGGAGTGTGGTCAGGGCTACCTGTGCAAACAGGAAGATGTTGAAAAAGATGCAAACAGAGGGCACAATAGGAACCCATGGACAGGAAAACCCCGGAGCTTCAGAATAATCCTGAGACAAGTACAATAAAGGGCTCAGAAAATCTTCTTAAGAGGTTTACAATATTCAGTTGACCATTTTAAACTATGCCGAAAGCAAAATGGTGCACTGTGAAAAGACAAAACTGCAACCAATATAACCTTAAAATCCATTAACACAAATATATACCAATAAAAGGCTCCACTCTTACTGGCATTGGAAACGAAAAGTATAAAAACAAAATTATGTATAGAGATAAATTCATTCACCTGACTGGAACAAAGAGCAGCACAAGCCAATATGGCTATAACCAATGCAACAATCATATAAATAAAGGAAGCACAGACACGGTAAAGAACTCCAGTAGCAAAACCACAGCATGCCAATATGACAATCAATGTGACACTTTCGCACCAGGTTGCCATGCATTTTGAAGAATCTTGAATTTCTGTCCTTTTTTCCCAGCGAAGTGTTACAACACATGCAGCAACAGAATAGCCAGTCTGAAACAAATCAAAGCATAAAATGAGGTGCATGTACTTCACAATTTCTCCTTCAAAAAATCAACTTAGTTTATGCAAAAATACTTCCCTTTGACCCCACAACCATCCAACACGCGCACTTCAATACATTACTTCATGTTGACAGAAACCAACAAATGCACTTTATAGTTAAAAGTTTAGTAGAAAAGAGATAGGTTCCGCAGATACACAACCATTTCCATCCAAATCTGAAATAAACTACTCCAATAACCTACACATGATACTATGAAATATAGCATATGCTGAGGCAGGTTACACCTAAATTTCTGAGCAATGTATGTTTGGTATCAATCCTTTTCAAAGTAAAAGGCACGGTAATTTGAGAACATAATGACCATATACAATTAAGCAAGTATTGGACAAAGACTACTCAAAAAAGAAAAAGAAATGGGCAGACCAGTGAGCCAACTGAAAGAATGTGCGATAGGACATGCACATTAAACAGCCCTCCCAAAACAGCAGCGATAATACTGACCCAGACTTGAGAATGAACAGGCCTGTGGCATTTCGGATGCACTTTAGGAACATGCTACTCAAGATGATATCATCACATAACAAAAATAGAAATTCCAAATTAGTTCACCTGGACATATAGACCAACTAGAAGGGTTGTTGTAAGCCCAGCAGCAGCTCCAATGCTGATTAAAATAGAAACATATTTCAAACCCTTATATGTAAAAGCTTCAGCTAAAGGAGCATCTTCTCCCAGCATGTTGTATGGTACCATCCCAGTAATCACCAAGCAAACAGAAATGTATAAAATAACACAGAGAAGCAGACTTCCCATTATTCCTATCGGTAAATCCCGCTGAAATATCAAAAGAAAAACAGGGAAAATATAAAGACTGAAACTACAAATTTCATGCAGACACTATATAGGAATTATATACAAGATAAACATTAGTAACATAAATTACAAAACAATGAAGCATAAGACTTTGGGTTGCTCTCAAAGTAAAATTACCTGAGGTCTCTTCGATTCTTCAGCAGAATTAGCAACGGCATCAAATCCGACATATGCAAAGAATACCACAGTAGCACCCGTCAATATTTCTTTAAAACCATTGGGAGCAAAAGGAGACCAATTATCTACATCAACTTTGAAAGATTCGGCAATGATGACAAAATAACAGTGACAACCTGCAACACCGTTAACACAGAAAACAGTTACCACCATATTATTTAATATCAGCCGCGGCCCAGTGCAACGACAGCATTATAACATTTTTTAAGGTCAAAGCGACATCACAACCGTATCCACAACATAAAATAATAGATATATTTAGGAAATAAATCACGTTGTAACATTGCAACAGCGACACCACTTAACCCCCCTTTCACCTTTTCTTTTTCTTCTTTGTTCCTTTCCTTATTTATAATGTTCCGAAAAGTTCCCTATTATGTTGTTAGTTGATACACACAAACGCCAAACGTTGACTTTTAAATATTCACAAATCTCGTTGGCTTTAGTATCCGACGGCCATTTTTGTCTATAACTTTCAGAAAGGAAAAACAGATACCATCAGTCGTAAAGAAAGATAGTACCTTGGTTGTAGTCATGAAGGAATTAACAGCAGAAGACTCTTTAACACCCTGACAGAGAATTATAGTCAAAAGGGCAAGAAAAATCGGAGCCAGAATATTGATAGATAAAGTTCCTCCAAATAATTCTTGACCAAAGTGACCAACCCAGGGAGGTATCTTTCCTTTCAAAGCAGGGATGAGCTCGAAAATGGTAGCCACGTAGCTCGCTAAGCTCCGCGCAATACTAGCAGCCCCAATATGATAATCCAACATCAATTGCATAAATACAAGAAAAGCAGTAATTTCATTGAAGGCCGTATACACGTACAAGTACGCGCCTCCGACCACGGCGGGGAACCGTGACGCTAACTCAGCATAGCACAGCGCGTTCAACACACATGATGCTCCCGCGATTATGAAACTAAAAATCACCCCTGCAACAAATTTGAAATCACCCCAAAAGTTAAATTGAGAAATGAAATCCGCGATCCGATAGAGTAAAAGGGAGATAATCGGTACGGACCAGAACCGGCATCGCGAGCGACGGTTCCGGTGACAACGAATATACCGGCACCGATAGACGCGCCGACGCCGAGCAGGAGGAGATCGAAGACGCTGAGTCTGCGGATAAGGCCATCGCCGCCGGAAGCATCGGCGGAGGAGGATTTAAGGGTTTTGGCTCTAAGCGCTGATGAGCAAAAATGAGAAACAAAAGTAGAAGATGAAGAGGAGTCTTTCTGGAAAGTATCCATAGGTAAGATACTGTAACTTTAGTCTTTGATCTTATTTATAATCCGAAAATTCATTTGATTAGGCAGAGATAAAACAGCTCGAAATTAGTCATACATTTTTGCTCTTATATATCTCCATTTTCAACACCAATCACATATTTTCTTTCTCCTTCCAAACTACAGCCATACAACTCCAATAGCCAGTGTATTTATAATTATTATAATTACCATCTTAATATTTTTAAATTTTATATGATAATAAATTCTATTTTTGTGTCTATTTTTTTCACGATTTAATATAAAAATAAGTATTTAAATTATGTCTTGAAAAATATTTTAATGTTTAAAGAATTTTTTTTGTTAAAAATAAATATTTAACGTTTTTTTGGTTATATTTTTAGATGTCTGACGTCAACCGTTGTTAAAAATCACCGTTAAGTGACATGTGTTACGCTTTGGCACTTCCGGAAACTTTTATTTAAAATATAAAATATATATTTTTTTAAAACACTTTTTTAAATCTTTAAAAAACTCAAAACTTTCACAAACTTTATTTTAATCCCTTTGCCTTCGTCAGTCGCCACTAACTCCGTCAATCAACCGAACACCCAACGACGTGGGCCGACCAACCACCCACGACCAAATCCCTCATGCTTTCGCAATCGATTGAATACCCAAAAAGGTGTAACTGAACATTTTTGTTTTAGGTTTTGAAACCATAAAAATCCTTAGATCAATCGTGATAATCGGTCGGTTGATCGGATGTAGTGATTGGTCATTTGTCGTTTGGTTCGTCGTTCTAGTTGGCCTTTGGCCATGACAGTTAGCCGTGACATGGGAGGGGAGAAGAAAAGGGGGGAGGGAGAAGGGAGAGAAATGCATATGTGCTTTCTTTTAATATAAAATTGTAACATCCTAAAATAGGGATAGTGACTAAAACGTGAATTTTGAAAGTTTTGTGTTTAATTTCGAAATAAGTTAAAAGTTCAAGGAATTGAATAGAAAAATTTTAGTGTTATATTAAATGGTAATTGTGAAAATTTTGAAGGGTATAATAGTAATTTCATAAGAAAGATTTTTATTTCTCCTTTATATAGGAGATGGCACGTGGAAATAGAGGAAAGAAAATAGAAAAGTCTGGAGACTTTGGTTCAACCTTCTTATTCTTCTCTTCTCGTAAGCTCCATGGCAAAGGTAAGTT